TCCCTTTTCTTCTGTTTCTCTATCTTCATTCAACACAAGAGGAACCTAGTGGTGGGATTTATTTGGGATCTTGGACAGTCTTTCATTTATGTTTTCTTTCAGTATCCTGGGTTTCAATCCTGGGTTGGGCTTTACCTATTCTCCGCTTCTATTCTTTCCTGCTTCTTCGCCTTCTTTCTCTCTCTACCTTACGCATTTGGCGTATTGGTGGCTTCTCAGGTTTGTGTTATGGGAGGACCGACCTTTCAAGGCGCTTCATCATCATCATCATCTTTTTCTCTCCCCCCAGCCCAGGCTCGCGAAGAGATAAAGGGCTCTCCGCTGCCGTGCTGCTTGTGCCATGTCTGCATGCTGCTGCCTGGCCAGAGGTTGAGGCTGGAAGCCCAGGAGCCAGGACACGGGCTCCAATTTAAGTGCCAGGTCTTGCCAGCATCGCTTGTCTCGGGCCTTCGATTTTTCGTTGTCCCTGTTTTTCGGTTCGGTCCCTCGCTCGGCCCTGTCTGGTCCTGGTCCGTCCCTCGCTTCTTTCGGCCCTTCCTTCGGGCCCTTCGCTCGTCGTTTCGGCGCCACGGGCAGGAGTGTTCGGCAGACGATCACCCGCGCGCAAATCAAAAATCAAAAAAAGCGTCCGCATGCCTCCCCACCACTTATTCCGGCACACCCCTCACACGTTTCGTGGCCCCAGGGGGAGCTCCAGCGAAGGCACCAGTGGTTGCGTTCGCATGCGGTTCCACCCCCCATTTCGGCATACCCCTCACACGTTTCGTGGCCCCATAGGGAGTTCCACCGAAGGCCCCAGTGGCTGCGTTCGCATGCGGTTCCACCCCCCGTTCCGGCACACCCCTCACACGTTTCGTGGCCCCATAGGGGGCTCCACCGAAGGCCCCAGTGGCTGCGTTCGCATGCGGTTCCACCCCCCATTTCGGCACACCCCTCACACGTTTCGTGGCGCCAGGGGGAGCTCCACCGAAGGCCCCAGTGGCTGCGTTCGCATGCGGTTCCACCCCCCATTTCGGCACACCCCTCACACGCTTCGTGGCCCCAGGGGGAGCTCCACCGAAGGCCCCAGTGGCTGCGTTCGCATGCGGTTCCATCCCCCATTTCGGCACACCCCTCACACGTTTCGTGGCCCCAGGGGGATCTCCAGCGAAGGCCCCAGTGGCTGCGTTCGCATGCGGTTCCACTTTCATTTCGGCACACCCCTCACACGCTTCGTGGCCCCAGGGGGAGCTCCAGCGAAGGCCCCAGTGGCTGCGTTCGCATGCGGTTCCATTTTTTATTTCGGCACACCCCTCACGCGCTTCGTGGGTGGCTCCATGGGGAGCTCACCGAAGGCCCCAGTGGCTGCGCTCGCATGCGCCCCCCCCCCCCCCCTTCATTTCGGCTCACCCCTCGCACGGTTCGTGGCCCCATAGAGAGCTCCACCGAAGGCCCCAGTGGCTGCGCTGGCATGCGGTTCCACACCCCATTCTGACACACCCCTCGCATGTTTCGTGGCCCCATAGGGGGCTCCACCAAAGGTCCCAATGACACTGCCCGCTTGCGTCCGCCACCACCCAGCACAGCCCTTGTTCCCTGCGCTTCACCCACCCAGAACAGCGCTTCGTAGCCCTATAGGGAGCTCCACCAAAGGCCCCAGCGGCACCGCCCGCATGCGTCCGCCACCACCCTGCACAGCCCTTGCTCCCTGCCTGCGTTTCACCCACCCAGTACAGCGTTTCGTGGCCCCATAGGGAGCTCCACCGAAGGTCCCAGTGGCACCGCTCGCATGCGTCCGCCACCACGCAGCACAGCCCTTGCTGACCGCGTTTCACCCACCCAGTACAGCGTTTCGTGGCCCCATAGGGAGCTCCACCGAAAGCCCCAGTGGCACCGCCCGCGTGCGTCCGCCACCACCCAGCACAATTGCGGCATTCACAACTGCATATGGTTGGGTCCTTCGCCAGGCTAATTTTTGAGGCCGCAGATGCTCTCAAGACGGCCCAAGAGAGCCCCCCCCTCAAAAAAAAGAGTGGCCCAAGATCGCTCCAAGAGCGGCCCAGAAGGGCCCCGAGAGGCCAGTTTTGAGCTTCCGAAGAGGGCGTGGGTGCCATGGACCGCGCGCCCGTCTACACTGCTCGGGCCCATGCTCTGCCGGGCAGGCCCAAAACGGAGGGACCAGGTCGCCAAAAGGAGCGCGTCGTGTGCCCGACGCGTTGGGGAGGCGGTGGGGCCGAGTGCTGCCCCTCGCAGAAGGCGGAGCATATGGACAAAGCGAGAGTCCGAGACACACACACACACGCACGCACGCACGCACACACACACACACGCACGCACGCACGCACGCACACACACGCACACACGCACACACACGCACACACACACACACGCACGCACGCACGCACGCAAACCCACACGCACACGCACACGCACACGCACACGCACACGCATACGCACACGCACACGCACACGCACGCACGCACGCACACGCACACACACGCACACGCACACACACACACACACACAAACACATGCACACCGCACACAACGCACGACGCGCACACGCTCACGCACGCACACACGCACACGCACACGCGCACACGCACACGCGCACGCGCACGCACACGCGCACGCACACGCACACGCACACGCGCACACGCAACGCAACAGCACACGCGCACGCACGACGCGCCACACACACGCACGCACACGCACACGCACACGCACACGCACGCCGCACACGCGCACACGCACACGCGCACGCACACGCACACGCGCACGCACACGCACGCGCACGCGCACACGCACACGTACACGCGCACGCGCACGCACACGCACTCGCGCACGCGCACACACATACACACACGCACACGCAAACGCACACGCAAGCGCATATGCACATGCACGCACGCACGCATAGGCACGCACGCATACACACGCACACGCACCCGCACACGCACACGCACACGCGCACGCGCACGCACACGCGCACGCGCACGCACACGCGCACGCGCACGCGCACGCGCACGCACACGCGCACACGCAGGCGGCGCGCGCGCACGCACACGCACACGCGCACTCACACACGCACACGCACACGCACACGCACACACACACACACACACAAACACACACTCACGCGCACGCGCACGCACACGCACACCCACACACACACACACACTCACACACACACACGCACACGCGCACGCACACGCGCACACGCACGAGCACGCACACGTACGCACGCGCTCGCACACGCACACGCACACGCACACACACATACACACACACACGCACACACACACACGCACACGCACACGCACGCACACGCACACGCACACGCACAACACACACACACGCACACGCACACGCACACACACATATATATATATATATACACATACACACACACGCACACACACACACACTCACACACACGCGCACGCTTACACGCACACGCACGCGCGCACGAACCAACCGCTGCAAGTGCGGTGTCGGACAAGGCTCCCGCCTGCCTTCTGAGAGGCCCCCTCGCCTTCTCAGCAGGCCGCTCCCCTCTTACGCGCAGCCGCGAGCCCGTCGGGCCCGCGGCCGCCCGCACGCGCGCCCTCCCCTCTTCCTGTCGGGGAAACGTGAGACTCGAGTTCGCTGGAATCGAGGTTCGCCGACGCTTCATATGACGAGCCCGCCCTGGAGCCCGACGGCCCCGTCTTCGCGGGAGGCCTGCCGCGGGCCATCTCTCTCGTCGGGTTCCAGACTGGGTCTCGGCATGTTCCTGGCGGCCCCGTCGGGCCCAACCCGAGTCCCCCGAGCCCCAGTTTCAGGGGGGCAGGGGGAGGGGGAGGGGGAAGGGGAGGGGGACAAGGTGCGCTCGCGTCATATCTGACATCCTACCCCTCCCTCCCATCTCTTACCATGGCGCAGATCCCCTCTCTACTCGCACAGTCGGATGTCAAGCAGGGCGATGATCCCGAAAGGGTACGCGATGCATTGTAGAGCACGGCGTGGCATGGCGTAGAAGAGCACCGCGAAGCGTAGTATCAACCTAGTATTGCATTGCATGCCGTGGCATGGCACGGGAAATGACGCCAGCGCTGCAGCGGGAGCACGAGTGGAAACGAGCGGAAGCGCGGAAATGAGGCCAGCGCTGCAGCGGGAGCACGATTCGGAACGAGCGGAAGCACGGAAATGAGGCCAGCGCTGCAGCGAGAGCGCGATTCGGAACGTGCGGGGCCCGAAAATGAGGCCCGCGCCCCAGCGAGAGCAGCATTTAGGAAAAATTGCAAGCGAAAACCCAGCTCCGGGGAAACCTGTGTGTTAAAAAACAGTACGCGGGGGGGGGGGGGGGGGGCGAATACTCCCGAGACGTCATCAGGGGAAGAGGGAGAGTAGTATTCATATTGAGTAGTTGTGGAGGAGGACGAGGGGGAGGAGGAGGAGCAGGAGGAGGAGGAGGAGGAGGGCGTCTCCCCGATTCTGCGCACGCCACCTTCGGCTGCGGGCCTCGGCTGCGGGTGCACTGCCTAGGCGCCCGCGGGCTGGCTCCTTCTGAGCCAGCTCCCCGCTTACTTCGACGCCTCCCTCCCTCCCTCTCTCTCTCTCTCTCTCTCTCTCTCCCTACGCCTCCCAGATGGTCAGTATCGTTTAACCAATCCCCATCCCCATTCCCATCCCAATCCCCTTCGAGACCCCACCAAATCACCCTCCCAAGTTGGGGATACACCCCTCGAAACCCGAAGGGAGCGGCCTATATCCCCATCTAGGGGGGTACATCGGCCAGTGGGGCCCAGGCCACGCCTCTGAGGATGGGGATCGGTTAAACGAAACTCAGACGGGGTGGGTGGAGCAGATGGAGTCGGAGAATCGTGCCGCATCGCCGATGCATCGACGACCCGGCTTGATGTGGGGCCCGATGCCCTCTGCGCCGACGGTGGCGGTGCATCGTCGGTGCGGCGTGACCCTCTGACCCCGTCTCTGTTCGGACCTCGTCCGGGAGCTCTCCTTCGTCCCGCTGCCCCCAGGCCAGACGCCCCCCGAGAGAATACGCAATTTCTCCATCATCGCGCACATCGATCACGGGAAGTCCACCCTGGCGGACCGGCTGCTGGAGGCGCGCCCGTGCCCGCGCGTCCCCGCCCGCCGGCGCGGGGAGCCCCCCTGGTCACCCTTTCGAAGGCGCTCCATCGGCACACCCGACATGTCGGGTATGGCCAGGACCCCAGGTAAGGGGACCTGGTTAGTAGTAGGGGCCATGGCGCCCCTGAAATGGCCAGGTTCACTAGACCAGGTCTGCCGTAGCTGGTGTTTTGTCGGGCGGCGGCAGTTCCGGTTAGTGGAGCGAGGCGGGGGGCGTCCCCCAGTACACATCATTAAGCCAGGTCCCACTAAGCCCAGTTCTGCCAACGCCCGAAAGGGGTACGGAAAGAAAGGATGCGAAGACCGCCAGCAGTTCTCAGGCACGCGGAGAGGGGGGCAGGGGGAGTGGGGGAGACTTCTTAGAAGCACCCCTGCTTCTCAGAAGGCGCGGTCCTCGTTCACAGATGTAGGGCCCGCGCCTGCTAAGAAGCAGCCTCCTTTTCAGAAGCCTTTCCCCTTCCCCCCACCCCCTTGTGCGTGCCGCGTGAGTTCTTGCCCATTTTCAACTGGGTTCGCTGTCGGCGTCGCCGCGGATTGTGTCCATTTGAGACAAGGGCCGCCTGCCGAACAGCGGTGTCGATTTTGGACAACATTTGCTGTTGGGCATCGTACCCACTTTTTCCGTATCCATTTCGGGCGTCCAATGTTTTCGAAGGAGTTCCAAGGTCGGGGGGCGCCAATCACACGTTCATTTGTGTGGTCCTTCTTGGGAGCCTCAGGGGGTCCCAAAATTCTTTGGGTTTTTTGGGGGGGTTCGTCCAGATGTCGTCGGTCGACATCTGGACGAAACCTGGATGAAAGGTTGGGGAGGGATGCCGAAATCTGGACGACATCCTGGCGAAATCATGCTTATGATAGGGCCGCCGCGGAGGTCCACAGAGGCTCCCATGAAGGCTCACCCAAGCTCACACACACACACATACACGAGCACACGAACACACTGTTGGCGTCGCGGCGGCCACGCGCGCAGCGGCCCGGCGGAGTAATTATATAGTTGGGCGAAGTGAGGCGCGCGCGCAGGCTGCCCCCTTTCACACACAGACACACACACACGCACGCACGCGCACACACACACACGCGGTTTAGTTCCCTCGTCCCCCCATCCATCCTCCCTCCCCAGAGATCCGGCGCATTTTTTTTTTCCAGACGCGGTCTCCAGAAGCCCCCCAGCACCAGCTCTTCATCCCCAGCTGTTGTTTGGCGGTCCTGGGGCCTGGCTGGGGCTCCCGGAGGCCGAAAACGGTGTTGCAGCGCGTTCTGCCGTTTTCGGCCTCCTGCATGCGGCCGTGGCCGGGCCCCGGCGAGATGAGCCTTCCTGAGATCCTCCTGGCGCATGGAGAACGGGCAGCTCCGAGGTTCTCGAAGCCAGCCGAGCTCGGTGGTCTGTTGGGTGCGTTGGAGGTCCGGCCTTCCGGCCACGTCCGGCCTTCCGGCCACACCTCGGGCCGTTCGGGCGGCCGTTCGGGGCGAGCCGGGCTCCCCCTTGAGCGCTCTCGGCGAGGCGCAGCTGCTGGCAGGCATCCCATCTGGACGCCCGAAATGGGTACTGAAAGGCCCCAGGGAAAGGGTCGGGACTTTCGGGGACGCCGTCCTTCAGAGCGTGAATTACCTACCCCGCTTTCGCTTCCAGGAAGAACCAAGTCATACCACGCGCCTCCTCGTCAATCGGCCTGACCAGTACAGGCCGTAGTTTGGCATCGCTTGGTATCTCTTGTCTGGACGCCCGAAATGGGTACTGAAAGGATGGGTACAATGCCCAACAGCAATTCCTGTTCATTTTGAGCAGGATTCGCTGTCCGCGCCGCCGCGGCCTGTGTCCATTCGAGACAGAAGGCCGCCTGCCCAACAGCGGCCGCTGTTGGCTTGGGACAACATTTGTTGTTGGGCATAGTGCCCATTCTTTCCGTACCCATTTCGGGCGTCCAAATCCCAGGTCAGAAGACCTCCATCAGCCAACGAAGACCTCCGTCATCCTAAACCGCTTGGCGAGACACTGGGGTTTAGGGTTCGTCTCCCCGCTCGATGGGTTGTGGGACGATTCAAATCCAGAATCGCGACGATAAACCTTCTTGCCAATGCTCGAGTTTTCGCGGCAACTAGCCGCTCAAGTGTTTGAGGAAAAAGGCCGCGGCAGCAAGGTTCTGTCTGAAGCATGCAGCAGCCCACCTGCATGCTGCATGCGGCTGCTGACGTGCCAGAGTTCGAGTCGGAGATCGACTACAGAATGATGTACCCCAAAGCTGGGATCCCCGTCGGATCTGCAACAGATGCGTAAGGATTCCGGTCCGTTCGACAAGAATTCTGCGTTCTCTGGAGTACACGAAAGAGAGAATCTCAAGCTTGGGGTGAATCAGTTCTGTTGTCGAGACCTCCTGCTAGATCGGGCGACGAAATCTATACATATCCACTGCTCCCTGACCATGCCCATCTTGAACCCAGGAGCTGTGTATGCGCCCTCCTGGCCAAGCCAGGAGGGCGTGGCGTATACACCGCTGCGGGGTTGAGGATGGGCCTGGCCAGGGAGCAGTGGATATGTATAGATGTCGTCGCCCTATCCTGCTAGAGGAGCCTCTCGAAGCCCCCCGCCCGTCCCTCCCTCGCTGCTCCTCCCCGCGGCCGCCCTCGAGGCGGCCCAGCGCCGGCCGCCCGAGCCGCCCGGCGGCCGAAACCGCTAGGGCAGCGGCGCCATCACGACGCGCGGCAGGCCGCTGAGCGTCTCCTCCCTCCTCCCCTCCTCCTCCTCCTCCTCCTCCTCCTCCTCCTCCCCCCCTCCTCCTCCTCCTCCTCCTCCTCTCCCCCTCCTCCTCCCCCTCCTCCCCCTCCTCCTCCTCCTCCTCCTCCTCCTCCTCCCCCTCCTCCTCCTCCTCCTCCTCCTCCTCCTCCTCCTTCTCCTGGCACCCTGCAGCATCGAGGAGCACCCTGCATCATCGAGCGACAAAAACACGCGCGAGGCCGAACAATGTACAGGGCATGCGCGTCCGAGCGACGGCGAGGCTTGGGCCCCACGCTCCGCCAAAAAACATGGTGGGCAGCGCGCGGAGGGGGCGGAGGGGCGTGCGGAGGGGGGCGGAGGGCCCCCGTGATCAGAGAGAGGGACGCGCCCTTCGCAGGAGACCGGCACCATCAACAAGGAGGAGCGCCCTCGAGCGGGGCCGCGCGGCGAGCGTGCTCTCTCGGCGACTTGCAGAGGGTGTGCAACCCCAGGAGGTCTTCAGGTTTTAAGTCGGGCCTGTCCCTCTACAGGAGGAATATCCAAATAGTGTCAAAGGAAAGTGTGGTGACGTTTTTTTTGTATTTTGGAATGTTTTCCATTATTTGTTTAGTACTTTTGATTTTCGTCCACGATCTGCCTGTAGGGGGACATGCCCGACCTAACTTTAGTTTTGAACGCCCCCCCCCCCTCGGTTTCTCCCGGCGGAGAAGAAACACCGCCCCTCGTCCTCTTGCTCTTTCTCCTCCTTCTCCTCTTCGGAGAGATCATGATCTTCCACCATTGGTGGGACCCCAGACCGTCAATGGGGGCGTCGAAAGGAGAAATAGTTTCCACTATTGGGGGGTGGGTCTGAAAACCTGCCTCGGTCAGTTGCGTCGGGGTGTATTTTACGATCGGCGCCTTGGGGCTTGGGGGGCACGACGGGGAATCTGGGAGCGGGAAGAGGATACGATCTAAACACCACTTGCTAACGCCCAGAACTGGTAGGGATTTTTTGCTCGTGGCCTGGCCGTAGATTCCGCTCCGAAAGGGCTGCTCACATTCACTGGTCGACTAAACGTAAGCGTGACCTTTCGCCAGAGTGACCTTTGGTGCGGGCCAAATGGGGCCCCCCGATCGCCGAACGCGAGGCGGCAGTGGCGTCTTGCGCGCTTGTGTTTGGCCCCCCCGCGGCCCCCCCCAAAAGCTGGGTCACTCGTTGCGTGCAGCCGAGCTGGGAGTTCGTGGGTGCAGAACTGGCGCGTCTGTCGGTGCGCACGGCTTGCAGGATGCACGGGCGCCCTGCGGAGCCCGCACGGGGGCACCTCGCCACTCGCTGCCGTGGCCGGTCACGGATCGACGAAATCCAGAAGGGAAAACAGCAGACAGACACAAGTCATCGTCGATTCCCCAAGAAATATCGCAAAATATCGGAAGTGGGGGGGAAGACAAAAACCCAGAACATATTGGAAAGTCGGGGGAATCTTGTTGCGTGTGTATATTTGTGTGTGTGTGTGTCTGTGTGTCCCAGGGCCCCTTCATAATGGTCCAGATGATCGTTTGGGGGGTCATAGGGACAATATAATAAGCACAATCATTCTTGGCTCGTGTTTGTGAAGAGGCTCGGCGCTGACGCAGCGAGCGCTCCCCCGTGCCACCCCGCCGCGGAACCTGAGGACAGCCACGGTCACGCTCCCGATCCCTCCCGGCTCTCGGGAACAGAGGGGAGCAGGATAGAGAAATCGGGGGCGACAAAGCGGGGGGTGATGACAGGGGGGGGGTATCATTGCGTGGGCCATGATATCTCCCCAGATTTCATGGCGCCTCTTCGTATTATCATTACGTCACTGGCCCCCCCTTGGGCGGCTCACGTGCCGCTGGCTATGATTTGCGCCCCCCCCTCCTGGACGCCCCCCTCTTGGCCGCCCCCGAAGAGAGAGAGAGAGAGAGAGAGAGAGGAAGAGACGGGAGCGCACCCGGAGCCGCTCCGACTTTTTCGCGGCGTGGCCCTCACTGTGTCTCCGTCCATTGCCGAGCGCGCTCCACTACTCGCAAACGCCCGAAAAAACTTTTGTCTGCTCTGATGTAATGTATCGTAGATCCCCCGCGGGGGGTCCAGGCCTTTTGCGAGTAGTCACTTTGCGAGTAGTGGACCGCGCTCGTCTCCGTCCAGGGCCTCGCCGACCGCGGTGGCCGCGGCGGCGACTTCGCTGCCGCCGCATTTAGGCCGCGCGGGTCGGCACTGATCGAGCCGAGCGTCTTACCCCCTCCTGGCGCCCCGCGCCCTGGGCCCGCCCGCGCGAGCGGAGGGGCAGTCGGGGGAGGAGGAGGAGGAGGAGGAGGAGGAGGAGGAGGAGGAGGAGGAGGAGGAGGAAGAGGAGGGAGGAGGAGAGGAGAGGAGAGGGAGGAGGAGGGGGGAGGAGGAGGGGAGGAGAGGAGGGAGGAGGAGGAGGAGGAGGAGGAGGAGGAGGAGGACGAGGAGGAGCAGGAGCAGGAGCAGGAGCAGAGCAGGCAGGAGGAGGAGGAGGAGGAGGGGAGGAGGGGGAGGAGGGGGGGGAGGGAGGAGGAGGAGGAGGAGGAGGAGGAGGAGGAGGGAGGAGGAGGAGGAGGAGGAGGAGGAGGAGGAGGGAGTGGTCAAGTCGTGCCAGAGAGTGGTATGTTCAGCCAATAAGACTCATTTCCCAGTGCGTCTGGAGTTGGGTGTGGACGCTCACACTCAGACGAAGCAATGTTTGAAGATGCCGATGCCTTTTCCAGTCGAGAGGCCCATAGGACCAGTCCCACCGCCGCAGGACTGGCAGTTTCTTTCCAGTTTATTCGAGGGGCACGCTGGCGAGATGTCGGCGGAGAGTCTCACAGACTTGTACGGCCTCTTATGCACCCGCATGGAGGCCGAGATTTGCGACGTGATGTGTATTCCAGAGAACGAACGGGCTAAGTATCTTGGGAGGGGTACTGGTTATAAGGTCGTCGAGAAACCGATTCTGGAGCACATCAAGGGGCCGTTTCCAAAGTGTTCGAAAGCGGCCAGGGCGATTCGGACGTATCAGGTTTGGCTGGAAGAACTGGGGTATCTTCTGGGCAAGAACCATAGTTGGGATGACCGAGGAGTTCAGGAGCTTCTGGATAGGATACTCTGGAGGCACCCCAATTTGAAGGACCATGCAGGCTGGCGCGAGTTTCACGACAGGCTCACGCTAGGTCGGCACAGCGTCATCGAGGACGTCCAGTCCGCCCTGGAGGCCGTTCGGGCCATCGCGGACTTGGAGGAGGCTGAGTTTAAGAAGAGCAGGACGAAGGAGTGGAGGACTTGGGTAAACCAATCCCTGGACTCAGGAGGAGGGGGGCTCTACAAATGGACCAAGGAGCCCCAAGGTTGGGCCCCCGACCCCTAGGGGCCGTCCGAGGGCCCAGCTGGGCCCGTCGACACGGTCGAGCAGCTCGTCTCGGAGTGGAAGGAGATCTGGCATGCTGGAGAACCCCAGAGGCTGGGCAGTCGGGACCTTCAGTTACCTCTTGAGGCCCCTCCACCAGCCCCAACTGCAGAACAAATCAGGGCGGTCCTGAAGAAGTTCAAGAAAGGCACGGCCATCGGCATCGACGGGTGGAGCCCGAAGGTCCTGCAGTTCCTCAGCGACGATGCCTTGAGGGTTTTTGGCCTTTTCTTGTCGGTGATAGAATCAGAGTTTTTGATTCCAGATCAGTGCGACCTCGCCCTGATCGCGTTCCTCAAGAAGCCAGATGGCGGTTTCAGGCCAATAGGAGTGCTAACAACGTGCATTCGGATATTGGGGAGGATACGGAGGGGAGAAGCACAGCAATGGGAGAGGGAGCGCGACCTTGCTTGTGTGTATGGGGCCAAGGGCAAGAGCTGCGAGCGCGCTGTGTGGCAACAGGCGGCTGTTTCAGAAGCTGCTACGTCGGCTGGCGCGTGCTCGGCTTCAGGCTTGGTCGATCTAGAGAAGTGTTATGAGAAGATCCCTCATGATGTTTTGTGGCAAGCGTGTAAGAAGCACGATTTCAACTTGAGAAGGGCCCGTCTGCTCATCAGGGTATATGGGGGCCCCAGGAGGCTCAAGGTTCGGGAGGTGATATCCGCCATCATCATCCTGTCAAGGTCAATTATCGCAGGGTGCTCGTTTGCCACAACTATGCTCAGAGTAGTAGTGCAAGACGCGCTAGAGTACATGCAGGTGCGCTGGCCGTCCCTCACCTTGTATGTCATGGTAGACGACATCACGTTGGCAGCGATTGGATCAGCCCAGCGAGTAAGAGCTCTGCTAGCGAAGGCGATTCCAGATCTTTGCAGGCGGCTAGAGAAGCTCGGGTTAGTCGTTTCTAAGAAGAAGTGCCAAGTGATGTCCTCCTGCCCTGCCGTGGCAGAAAAGTTAGGCCGAGATTTACGTGCTTTTCGGTTTGCAGTTTGTGCCAGTGTCAAGAACCTTGGCCATGACTTCAGCCTGCAGCTTCGCAAAGGCAAGAAGATCATTCAGGGCAGAGTCAGCAAGCTACGACGACGAGCGCATCGGTTTAGAGCTTTACGACATCATAGCAAAGGTTTAGCGAAGGTTTACAGGGCGGGAGGGATCTCAGCAGCTACGTACGGGGTGCGGGCGATGGGGATGACGGATAAGGATTTAAAGGATCTCAGGGCTGTCTCTGGGTTCGCCTTGTTCGGGAAGGCGAAAGGCCGACCCCGAGCGGTGCAATTCCTTCTAGCAGATCCAGCAGATCTTGATCCATCATATATAGTCAACACATTACCCTTGGTCACATGGTGGCAGGCGCTGCATCAGCAGTGGATCCCAGAGAATATCATGTCTCGTATCTTCACGGCGGCTCTGGAGAAAGAGACAAAGGGTTGGGCGGTCGTCATAGGCCCAGCAGGTGCGGTAGTGCAGACGCTTCGCAGACTGGGCTGGAAGGCCAGTTCTTTTTCGCAGTGGCAAGACCCTCGGGGCCTCCCAGTAGATCTCAGAGAAGTCGGTATGCCAGATTTGCAGAAGGTCATACATAGAGGAGTGAGGAGACAGCAGGAGTTAGCAGCAGCAGCACACCATGGATGGCAAGGTTTCGCTTTCCTGGATCCTGTAAAAGCCGAACTCAGACATCTTCGTGGGCAAGGGGAGTTTATTCAGGCGGACCTGGTCAGCATGCACATGTCGGGGGGCCTCTGGACTCAGGAGAAACTCTTCCAGGAACGTTTCACGATAGACAGAGATTGCAGCTGGTGCCGCGGTGGCCGCGGCACGATAGCTCATCGGTTATACGAGTGCGACGGGCTCGCCAGCTGGAGGCGCGAGCAAGGTTTTCAGGAGCTGATCTGCCTTGGCCGCGAGAACCCAGAGGCAGTCCTCACCACCTTCGGAGTTGTGGACAGTCAGCGTGATGATATGCCACCGCCGCTCCAGGCCAGAGAATGCCAAATGAGATGCTATCCTC